TCTCCCACTCGCTACCCCATCTCTGTACCTCCAGCCCCTCCATGCATTAGGCCTGTAGTAAGCTCCCCATGCTTCCCCCGACCCCACCTGCCAGACCCACCTTCACTGCAAAGCGGCTTCCCCACGCCATGCAGGTGTTCCCACCTCTCTCCATGCCTCCGGGGGAGGGCGCTGTGTTCCGTGAGGTGAACAAACAATAAAACACACTGCTGATTAATACTGGAGAGGAGTCCCAGGCGCGGGCAATGGCTGGAAAGGGGTTTTCAAAGGCACTCAACCTTGCCCTAACTTTGCCATTGGCAGAGCAAGGCCCCATGTTGAATCCTACAGACAGCTCCACCCCAGCATGCCTGAGTCTGGATCTCCCTCTCCAGGGCCGTGGCCCACAAGGCACTGGGTTAATATGGAACCAAAATGACTCGTAACCATCCGGTCCTCCTCACACCAGCTCCTCTCCCCTTCCCCCTCAGGTTACCCCAGAAGCTCTCTGGTGCTAGCAAGCCGAGAACAGCAGGGGGGAATTGGCAGGGGGAGTTGTGGGGCTGGGCAGTTGGGAAGAGGGGAGGGTGAGGAGGGACAGTGTAACCGCGGAGGAAGGGCGAGACAGGGAACGGGAGCAGGACCAGGATGTGTTCCCAGAGCCAGTCGCTGCCCATCCGCCCCCGTTCTCCTTCACCATCCCTTCACCGCGCTGCCAGGCACCGGTGCCAGCTGTTCCACGGGCTATCTTGCATCTTCTCTCTTTGTTTATTGTTCTTGACTGGGGAGGGTATTTGGCCTGTTAACCGCCATAAACAGAGATTAGAGGTGAGAAAACACCTATCAGAGGCTGCCACGTTTAGTGGTGGCTGGTGGCCTTGTTCTTTGTTCTTTCCCCTCCTCCATGATGTTACAAGATTACAGCCTTCAGGGAGGTTCCCCCAGGCACGGCAAACTGGCCCAGGAACTGGGAACCAGGACACTAGCTGCGTGACAGTCTCGGCCCATTGATGGAGCCACCTGATTCTTGCTAGGGCCTAGAGGAACTAAATCTCTGTGCACTGCACCCAAAACATGCCTGCATGTGCTCGGGGCACTGGGCACTGATGTGCCCATATGGGCCAGGGACACTGGGCACCAGGGAAATGCCTGTATGAGCCAGAGGCACCAGGCACTGGCGATGTGCCTGCATGGGCTGGGGGCACGGCACACTTCATACGTACCCCTGGTGTTAAGGCCCGGAAAACAATCACACTAAAAACCATAGAACCCTTTATTAATGTGACACAGACACTTCAAAACGAGTCAACAAGGGGGACGAAGGGCCCCTGCGCAGACAGCACCAGACACAAGCGTGCCCCCCCAGCCATCGATGTCGGCGTCGGTAGCCAGGTGATTGGGGGCATTAACTTGGCTGGGATCGTTGCCTTTTTCCCAGCCTCCACCAAACCCGGCGTAATGAGATGCCTGCCCAAATCTGACAGCCGGCGGGCTGGGAGCTGTGCGGAGATGGTCAGCATCCTGTTGGCAGCTGGGAGGAAAGCGAGAATGGCAGTGTCTTGCTTTGCTGCCTGGAAAACTCTCATTAGTTTAGATCACATCATGTGAATCTGGTCCGAAGCTTCCTCCAAGCCTGTGCTGGATACTAACTGAGACCGTGAGACCATGGGGGTGGGAACTGGCTAGCAACAAATTCACAGTGGGCCAGGTTCTTGCACATTTTTATTTTTCAAGCTGTTTTTTAAAAAAGGATTCCCCTGTATGTACAAAACCCTGAGCCGAAGCCCTGAACCAATATAAACATCAACGTTTTGACCCCTGACAGCAGCAGGCAGGGGGTGTCCAGGGGGCAGTGCTCATGTGTCGTGGGATGGGAGGGAGCTAAAACTGCACTGGAGGCTGGACGCAGGAGCAGGGCTGGCCCAGGGAACAGTCCAGGACCCTCTGTGTCATCATTGAGACCTCAGTTTCCTTCCCCCATTGGACTTCTTGCTCTCTGGGCTGGAAGTTTCTGGCAGTACCACTGGGGTATTAACCTCGGCCCCAGGGGACTGGGAAAGGAATGCATGGTATTCACCTGCAGCCCCCAGCAACCGACGGGCTGAGCAATGGTGGGGGAGATACAAAGTGGGTCTCGTCCAGTCCTCAGACTGTTATGATCCCCACGGAACTCCAGGCCGGAACGCTGCACCAACCCAAGAGACAGACCCAGAAAAGGCCATCCCAGCTTTGAAACAAGGCCCAGTGTGTGGCAGGACAGGACATCTTCAGAGGGTTCCTGTTCACTTCTGTGGTAGCAGAGCTGCAGATGCTCAAGCAAGCTGCTAGTTCTTTACCTTGGTACTGAGGCCCAGAACCCAGGCTATAATTAAGGAGTGCCCAGCTCAGGGTGGGGGTTGCAAGGCTGGACACAGTGCTCCCCTGCATAGGGCAGCTGGGTGCAGTAACTGTCCCCTGATGTGACAGGGTTTGTCTACACAGTGCCATAGTCCAAACCAGGCCCTGCTGGCATGAAAATGGGACCTAGTTCACACTGATGTAGTCCCATTTCAAACAGGACTACGTTAAAGTGAATGATGGACCTTTGAGTTCACGCCAGCGGGGTCTCCATGGAGCAGTTAGAGCTCAGAGCGTTAAGAGCGCGCTACAATTCACACACACAATCCTAGTCCGGACTCCGGCATCATGTAGACAAGCCCTTAGAGCATCCTAAGGGCTAATGTAAGTTACGGTGACTGCCAATGGCCTCAAGGGGCCAACGTGACAATAGTGGCTCGGGGAAAGAAGGGCCATCCTAGCCATGCGCCTACGTGGGCACCCAGGACCGGGGGTGGTGTAGAACTCATGATGCCAGCTGCACACCACCTGAGAATTCTCCCGACACTGGGTGATCTTCCTGAAGCTGGTTATGCCAGCTGTATGTCCAGATTGCTCTGCCAGTGCACTGGGGTCTGGATCTTTTCCGTGTTTATCTGGAACACAGTATAGATGGTGACAGGAGCAAGGGGCTTTGCAGCAAGAAGAGGGCAAGGGGGATGGTGGTGAGGAGAACAATGGATGAAAACTCAGAGGGCTCTGCAGTGTGCAGGACTCCACTGAGGCAGAGAAATGGGAAACAACCATGCTCACTAGCTTTGGAAAACCACAACTTTTACAGCATCTTCCTGGAGCCTGCATTTCCCCACACATGTGGATGCCACTGTGTGTGCTGTCCCCTCACATCCATGGGGTGAAATCCCACCTTGGTCACCAGGCTGGTTGCATACAAACCCGATGCCACAGCAGCTGTATTCATTGTCACGCGTCATTTAAATCCTCAATTCTGCGCGCTGTACTAAGGGACCCTCTAACTTCACACACTCCTTCCCTTTGCACTTTTATCCTCCTCCACCTATTGGCTCATGCCACAAGCTGCAAGAGAAGACCTGCTGGTGGCTCCTGAAGCCTCCAGTAGGACATGCTCTGTGACTAGGACCAATAAGAGGTGCCCAATGGAACCAGCATGACCAGCAGGAAACTAACAGACTATTGTATCACCTCTGTAATAGCCCCATTCTGAATTTGCTCGGTCACACGAATCTCAGATATGACTTCCACCCCCCGCACCCAGCCTCAATTGGTTATGCTGCCCAGATATCAAACCCCAACACAACTAAAAATACTCTTATGCTCAGCTTGTTCTCTTTACAGTTCAGACTGCTCCTACAGGAGGACAGATCTGCAGACCAGATGAGGAAATCTCTCTGCATTTAAAGACTTCTTAAGACAAGAATGAGCTAGCTCTGGCAGTTCCTTCAGTCAGCCTTCCTCTCTGGCTAACCCCAAAACCAGGTTATTTCTTGCCACTCGCATTCCATATGGAGAATTATTCTTGATGCTCCTTGGAAGGGAGGGATGACTCTGTTGCCTAGCGGATTTAGGAGCTGATCTGTCACCTCTGGAACTCAGCTTCAGCCTTTGGCTTGGAGCACAGTAAAATAAATGTGGGCGAAGGTGGGCGGGTGGTGTCAGCCTGGCTCCTTCTGGACATTTGTCCACTTTACAAATCAATCCCTATGCACCTGAACCCGGTATCCCAGCTGTTCAGGAGACAGGCAGGACTGGACTAGCATTGGCAGAGCTGTGTGTAGGGAACCTGGGACTAAATAGTGGGTGCTGCAGATGAGGACAAAGGCATGTTAGTGGAGTTCCCGCTCCTAGCCCAGTACTAAGAGGCCCTTGTTTAAAGGAGGACCAAATTCACCCTGTTTAAAACAGCCACCTTTCCTGGAACAGCGCTTACTCCACCTCCCACTTTCATGCCTCAGACTTACAAGAACACACTTGCTCCAGAGAACGTTCCTAGCTTGTCCCCATGTCCCCTCTCCACTTCTGTTCTCCCTCCAGGCACCAGCTGAGTGTCTTCTCCTGGCTAATCCCTTCAGTCCTGTCTCCTGTGTGCTCCTCACCCGATTCTCTGCAGAAGGACTTCCACTGCTTTTCTCCCTTCTCCCGCTCTGTGACTGTGGGGGATGCCGGAGACTGATTCAGAGGCTTGTTCCCAGCAGCACATCTACCTAGTGGTTACTCCAGACTTGTTTGAACGGCCCCATTCCGCCTGATGTGCCGAGGGGAAGTCATTCCTGACCAGTCTCCTGAACCTCCAGCCAGGAGCCCAACCTGTCCCCCTCCTGCTAATGACATTTCCTCGGCCTCACTGTCTCCTCCCATCCCCCAAGTGCCCCCTCTTGCATTTGATTATAAATATTTGAGGCCCGATCAGTGTTTCTTTCCTACCACAGAGTAACAGTAACTAACCTATTGTTTTTATACATAGAACTGAGTCCATGACACGGCCACAGAGGGGTCGTCTGCCATCAAAAAGAAAGCTTATTCTTCCTCCGGAGAGAGAGGAAGTGGCTTCATAGGCTCAGCCATTGCAGCATCAGGTCTTTGTGAAGGGATGGCCAGTCTCCAGAGCTCCCCACCTGGTTCCACGCCGCTGCACGGCACATCTAGCCGTGTCTTGCTGTCTGCTGGCCTTAGGGCATGAACTCTTCTTTGATAGTCATTGGGGAAGAGGAGACCAGGTTGGTGGTGCTGCTGCAGATACCGCCAATGGGACCCGGGGTGCCAACGGCCGGCGGGGTGGGAGTGGTGGTGCTTGTGGGTTGCGTCTGCTGCTGCATCTTCTTCTTGTTCACCTTCCTCTCCTTGGCTCTCCGGTTCTGGAACCAGATTTTCACCTGGGGAGACGAGACGAGAGAGACGGACAGGCATGGGAGGGGCCGGGGGAGAGAAACAGGGAAAGGAGAGAAGCAGGCAGGATGAAATATGGCAGTGAGCGAGGCCAGGGACAGAGGGGGAACGAGCATTTGGGAGGGAAAGAGCATGTGAGGTGATGGGGACGAGAGGGTTGGAGGGAGTCAGTGCAAGGAGTCAATTCTCTGCCGGGTTAGTTTTTCTGTCTTCACTATTGTTCCTCTGGCACACACAGGATGGAGAGACTTTCCGACAGGGGACACCAGGGGATAGGGTGACCATATTTCCCAAAGGACACAGTGCAGGGCTAGCCCTGAGCCCCTCCCCCCCGGCCCGGGGGGGGGGGCTGGCATCGCCATTTCCCCCCCACACACAAGCACATTCCTCCACACCCCACATTTTTGACAGAAGTCGGCACTTGTCCCGTTTACTCTTGCCAACTGATCAAGCTTGGCAAGAGCAAACAGGACAAATGCCCACTTTTGCCAAAAGAGTCGGGACAGGGCTTAACAAAGGGATTGTCCCGGCCAAAACGGGACGTATGGTCACCCTAGGCAGGAAGGAACGAGGAGCCGTAGTGCGGGGCTTGGCGGGGAAGTCTTCGTTTTATGAGCCACGTCGCCGCTCTGAGCCTGTGCCCGAACACGAGCCTCCCGCCCCCTCAGAGCGCCCCTGATTCCTAACCTCGCTTCCCATCTCCTCCAAAGCTTTCTCATGTCCCCTACAGCGTTCCCGTCTCCCCTAGAGGGTGCTGACTCTGCTGTTTTATAGGATCACCCTAAGAGTGGGCGGGTTTCAAGAGCTCTCCGCATTGGTTTAATTGCAATGGAGTGCAAAGGAGTGCAACTCCTATGCACTCGGGAGTTTTACCGCTGGCTTCAATGGGTGCAGTTAGGCCTAATGTCCGAGGCTGCCTGCATCAGCCCATCCCACGGGACAATGCAGGTGCCACGTCTCAGCTGCCGGGGATGGGATCGGCTGGAGGAGCCCTTAGCCACTGGCAGTGGTTGGATGGTCACCCATCATCCTCCCATTGACGGTAGCTGGTGGGGCGAGAGGGAGAATAACCCCAGCCCGGCCCAGCGCGTCGTGGCTAACGCAGCACTGACCTGCCGCTCGGTGAGCCCTAGCGTTGCCGCCAGCTCTGCTTTCCGCCGGATGGTGATGTAGCGGCTGTAGTGGAATTCCTTCTCCAGCTCCAGGCGCTGGTGGTCCGTATATACCACCCGGTACTTGTCTTTTGTTCTGGTCTTGCCTAATGGGAACAGCAGAGAGGACCATGTCCAGTGACTGGAGTGGGGACTTGGAGTGCCGGCTGGCAAGGGATGAGTGTGAGGACATTACCCCCAGGGACCTGCCGGCTAGCCACAATTCAATGCCATGGATCGCTTGGTAGCACTGCAGAGCCCTGGTACCCAGAGGGCAGCGGAGACATCAAGCCCTTTCGGAAGGGATGCGGAAATGCTCTGCCCAGCAATTGCCCAAGTCAGTCCACCAGGGAGGCCCACAGACTCCTACCCGTTGGCAAGCAGTCGCTGGAAGAAGAGAGCTGGCTGAGGCGGGGGCATCCAAGAGAGAGATGACACCGTAGACTGAGGAGGAGGCTGTGCGGTATCTAATTGCACCCAAGGAAGAGAGAGACACACGTTACGGCACCAGAGAGAGACAGAGTGCCAGAGTCAGGTGTTGGAAGGCAATGATGGACGCTGGCTAGGAAATGTAGAATGAACTGGTTTGAAATGAAACCTGAGAATGCAAAGGAAACCGGAGTCCCTTGGCCATAAAACTCCAAACCCAACCTATTGGAAGAAGGTCAGGTTTGATCATTTTAAGGTGCATGCGCTAAAAGCCAGGGAGGGAAAGTGTAGTGGAGTCTAGGGGATGGGGCAGTGGATTGGGAATCAGGAGACCCGCACTCTGTTCTTCTCTCTTCCTCTGACTTGCTGTGCGTCCTTGGGCAAGTCGTCGTTCCCCGCTCCAGGCCTCGGTTTCCCCTCCCACCCTTTGTCAGTCTTGTCTACAGAGATGGTAAGAGCTTCAGGGCCAGGGCTGTTTCTCGCTATGTGTCTGTACAGCGCCCTGCACAAGAGGGCCCTGCACTTGGTTGGGCCTCCAGGGAGTACTGCAACCTGCACAAGAAATAATAACAGGAAAAGAAGATACCAGCAGAGCTAAAGATTTTCCCCCGGGAATAACAGCAGGATTGCAGATAGGAACAGCAGCTATGTCACAGCAGTAGCCCCAATGAGTTTACTGTCAGCTGTTTGGGGACAGTTCTAGGGGTGAGCAAGCAGGGTTGTTTCTGGGTGCCAAATTCCAGGGGCAACATGTTCCTGTGCCCCTTGACTTTTTCCCCCTTTCTCTGCTGCATTGGCTGACCTGGTTTTTCACTGTTGCTTGGCCAGCCGGAGTTGGTTTGTTTGATTTTCCCCCTCCACTGCTGAGGTGGGGACGAAAACATTTTCCACCCTGGCTGGCAAAATGGCTAGGGCCACTCCTGCAGCTGCAGGCGAAGAAACCTAAGGGCCGAGCTCTGTTCCTGGATACCTACCCGAGACTTCTAGCAAGTGACCCCAGCAGGCAGTGCACCTAAGGAGGGAAGAAGGCCCTGAATTGCTCACCTCAGCCCCTAAGTAATAGTGAAGCAAAGGGGCGGCTTATGGAATGTGTTATGAACACACGTGTGTCTCTGCCATTGGGACAGGGCAGTACCACTTTTTCAAAGGGCAGCACCTAAGTTGTCTGCAAATGTGGGTTTTGTGCACAAAGCAGATGCAAAGGTATATTTTGCAGGTGCAGCTTAGCTGTCCACCTTCGACCAGCGTTTAGCGAGACAAAGCGTAGGGCAAGTTACTTGTTTGTTGTTGAATGAGTTAAATATGTTCTTTGGGGATATTTGTTGTGAATCTCTGCATCTGTTCACTGAATAATTGTTCGCAAACATATTTTTCTGTTACTCCGTTGGGCCCATTGATTTCAATCAGGAGTTCAATAGGGCTCTTCGTAAGCAGCAGATTTGATTTGAGTGTGTTGATACATTTCACATGTAACACTGGAAAGGAAAGTGAACTGTTCTTCAGATCCATCACATGGTAAGTTATGTGAAAGTTGATTTTCTTTAGAGATGGCTGCTAGGCGGTAATAGAATGATGTATAAAATATCTAGAGCCTATTTACTGTAATAGAAATGATGATGATGATGATTAATAATAAAAGACAAAGCAGAGATGGAGCCCCAAAACCCCCAAACTCCACAACTGGACCCCACACATTGCTTCTCAGCCCCAGCCATAAGTAATTTAATTCCTCTGTATAACTATTTTCTCCTAAATGGAAAAATAAATGTAGAAGATGATACACAGGTCTCCTGCATTAGCTCATTCAGTGTGTGACATATATTTAGGGATAATATGCAAACTAAAATATAAAGGTTTAATGAAAATACACCGTAAGAGAGAGGGCTCTGTCTTGGAGATCCTGTGGGATTTTGCAGAGTAAGACCTAACTCTAACCACACAACAGGATAATGGGATGTATGCGTCAAAGACCAGGGGTAGGTCATCCATTTTGCTAACCCACAAAGGTTTTGTCTGACAATTCTAGGGGTCCAAAATGTAGCATATTGGCTTTGTTAGCATTAAATACAAATGTCTGTTGAGCAATCCACATCGCTACCAAACAGAAGCCTAATTGCAGCAGAACATTCAGCTCCGCAATACCACGAGGTTGCCGGAAGACAAATGAGTCATGCACAACAGCGTCCTTGTGTACAGACAAGCAGTGACTCAGAAATACAGCAAATAAATACAACATAGGCCTTTGATGGTCCTGCCATCTCACTTATTACATTCCTGGATCAGTGGACATAGGTCCTTTCTTTCAAGACGTTTTAAAGAAGGTTTACCCACATCAACAGGTTTACTAATAAGAATGTTGTGATTATCCCTACCAAATACCCAAGAGAGAGGGCAACAAACACAGCCATGAAAGTTTGTTTCATATCCAGAAATCAATAAATTCTGTTCCAGAATGGCAGGTGGGTCATGATGGTGTTTTCAACTGCATATTCAACATCCTCCTGCCTGGGAATCAGTCCATTTGTCTTCTTGGAAAACACAGGACAACAGATGTAGATGCCTGTCTTTTCCTAAACTTTTGCCAAAGAGACTGGAGCTGTACCAGGGAACAGTGGGTGCAAATCCAAAGCATCTTAATGAATTTCAATTGAGTTGCTCCGGATTTACATCAGTGTCACTGAAAACAGGGTTTGGCCGTGTGTTTTTTGACCTTCAGAGGTTCTCCAGAGCTTGACACAGCAACAACTAAGAGATTTCCAAAATTCAAGAAGGCAATGGGCCAAAATCTGTTCAGTTGCACTGGTGTAAACCTGGAGTCACCCCACAAAAGTCCGTGGAGTTACACAGATGTAAATCTGGAGTAATAGAGGGCAGGATTATGTTCAAGACAGCTCATGCTGCATGGTGACTGGTGGTGCCAAAGCATGGAAAGCCTTTTTCATTGAGAGGACAGAATATTGTCACCTCCCTCTTTTTTAATTTGGAAAAGCATGTGAGGGTGTTAAATATATTATTAGAGTGTCAGTGTAATACTGTAGCAGTGAAAGGAACCATGAAGCCCTTCCAAACTAAGAAGTGTCAGCAATAGATTACATAAATCATCACAACCAGTCCCCCATGCCCACCCCACCCCACCCCCCATATACAGCTACCAGTTACTTTGCTTGGATCAGTTTAACCAGGAGGACATCCTTATATGGAGGGCCCAGTTCTTAGGTTGCTTGACACCCCTGCATGGTACAAAGCAGCTGGAAACCTGGTGGACACTGCCCTTCTGAAGATTCCCTCTGTGCAGGGGGAATCTGTGAGTGCCATAAAGAAAGTTTAGTGCTCTCTAGCATCCCGTCCTGGGACAGGGGACCTGGCCAGGGGGAAAAGGGCATGAAAAGGGATGTGAGAAGCCCACTGGAATCTCTAAAGAGGGGAGTTATTTGCTTTAGTTTTGTTTGTCTTTATCCTTCTTTAAGAAAAAAAAATGTCCCTTTCTCCTGATACTGGAAGATTCTTGTATGACTTGTTGACTCCATCTCTCCATGATGACGGCCATCAGTCACACTTGGTAAGACTGGCATAGTGAAAAGGAATGGGGGAGCTATGTATGATGCTGTGTATGCCGCTGCTGTGGAAAGTCCAGGCCTGGAGACCAAGATCCATTCCTACAGAGCAGGACAAGATATCGGGATACAAAGCCTTTCACTTCAAGTTCTCTGGTTCACGTCTAGCCCAAGACAGGAATGTTGCCTTGCTCTAGAGAAGTGATCCTCACACCTCAGTGATTCAGGAGCCAAATTAGTGATCAACATTACCCAAAAGAACCACAGTCGTGTGAATTCATTGTTTCATTTCCTAAAGTACTATCGATTCACATGTAAGCAGTATGCCAGGGGAAGTGTTTAGTATAACATAGTAAAAGCATCCTGACTGGTTAATAACTGAGATTGGCTAATAATTAAATGACCCAGTGTTTTAATACCATGTACTGAAAACAGCTGCAGGAGACACGTTAAAGAGCCACTTGCAGCTTGGGACCCTCAGCCTGAGTATCACTGCTCGAGAGGCATGATAACATATTGTTATATTGTCAGACAATTCTAGGTGTCCAAAATGTTGCATAGCTCTCCTAGGTGAAATAAATGGTACCTGGTGGACAGGTATCAATGTCACCACAGGTTTCAGAGGAACAGCCGTGTTAGTCTGTATTCGCAAAAAGAAAAGGAGGACTTGTGGCACCTTAGAGACTAACCAATTTATTTGAGCATGAGCTTTTGTGAGCTACAGCTCACTTCATCGGATGCATCTGATGAAGTGAGCTGTAGCTCATGAAAGCTCATGCTCAGATAAATTGGTTAGTCTCTAAGGTGCCACAAGTCCTCCTTTTCTTTTTGCGAATGTCACCACAAAGCATGGGCAGCGTGGTATTCTCATGGGCATGTCTACTCACCCCAGGAGGGGTTCCTCCAGGAGAGGACTGGGCCCCATTGGCGGGCAGTGGAGGAGAAGCTTGAATTGCTGCTTCGGTGCTGTTCCTGTTCCACCGAGAGATGGCTCAGCCTTCCTGGGCTGCCAGCCTGGAGCCTTTCCACAGCACTACTCAGGCCTGCTCTTCACATCCCTGTGCCCCGCTCACTGTACCCTGACTCTTTGGGGGCCTGGTCTTTGCCCAGACTGCAACACCATC